TGCGCTTTTACTGTTCCACCATTTTATTTCTACAACTTCGTTTCTGCTGCGTTTTGATTTTGCACGTTTACTGTTTATGCCTTTACTGCATACCGTTGGTTTTTCATTGCTACCGTTCGGTCTGTCATGACCGAATGGCTCCTTCGTCCTTGCTTATGTTTACCGTTCGGTCCATCTTTATGACCGTTCGACTTTTATTTGTGCTGTTCAATTTTACTTTTACCGTTCGACTTTAGTCTGCATTTGCATTTCACTGTTTTAATACCGATCGGTCTCCTCTCCAGAACCGTTCGATCTATGAACAAAACCGTTCGGTCTCCAACACGCTTGTTGTTAGAGCCGACCGGCCTGGTTAGTAGAACCGTTCGGTCTTCATGTTTTCCACATTTAATTCAATGCTTTCAATTTTGTTTAGTTATATTTAATTTCATACTTTAAGTTCAAGTTCAATTGCATTCAAAAACACTTTCAAACCACCCCCCCCCCCNTGTTTGGTTGTATTTAATTTCCAGTCTTAATTTACATCATTTTCGAATCACAAAAACACTTTCAAACCCCCCCCCCCCCCCCCGCCCCGACTACGTGTTTGACCTAAGTCTCGAACCATATTTGGTCCTTGAGAGACGACCTAGGAGTCACTTCCTAGTCTATACTGCATTCTTATTTGCACATCAAATTTGTATGGGGTGCGACACCCATCACATATATTTCTCTAGTGTTTAACTCATGATTCATTTACCAATATGATTTCATACATCAAGCACAAACACAATAAAGATAAAGCAATTGTTATGATATTTGTTGTGCGAGAATCCATAAAATCATTCTTTTGTTCATCATCAAAAACAGAGATATATATAGGGTAGGTATAGCTCCCCCTATCAACAATCGTTTAAACTTATTCTTGTAGCTCTAATATAAAAATGCCATAAGATAATGCTTAGACTTATCTTTGATTCAATAGCTATGATATATAAACGCTATGAGAAACATATAGTCTAAACTCATTTACTTTGATAGCTCGAATATATATGGAAAAGCTATGAATGTATATCCTTTAAACTGTAAATTCAGCAAACAATATAAAAAGATATAATTATTCTCTGAAGAACCGTGTCAAAAAATTTTGAGATTCATAAACCTTGATCGATATCATTCAAATATTTTTGAAACTCTGATAAACATATTTAGTTTATCATGTGTATTTTGTTAAAAAAATAAGGAGATTTTTAAGACAAGATTGTCTACAGAGACTAGATTGTCTAACAACTCGAGTTTTGAAGTTTAACATAAAACACTTAATGAAATATCGTTTAGTGGAGTATAGGATTTAAGTTAAGTACATATCAGAATATCCTTATTAAATGCTTGTAAGTTAAACAATGACATGTCAATAATAAAAGGATAAACAATATTTGACAAAAACACGTCTAAAGAAAGGAGCAGTAAATGCTATATAATTTATCAAGTGTGATATACTTTGAATAGCATAGACTCGCGTTAAACGCTTATATTATGAATCATGAACGTACTATTTTTTTGTTTGCTTTGCTTTTTCTCTCTTCATCTATGTAGATCTTGACAATACTAAGATTTACTCAAAAGCACTGCACATGGATCAGAAAGCAATGTTGCTCTTCCTAAGACATAGAAAAGTAAAAATCTTCGTACGAAAAGCCACCTACTCGAAAAGAATGTCAACTCTTTCTGATTAACGGTCATCTCTCGAAGAAATATATTAAGGATGACTCATACAAAAACAATAGAAGAACTTTTGCTATCATTGTATCATTACATTGTTATTCTCTCTAAAAGCTTACATCATTTGAGTTTTTTCTTAGAGCAAGACAAAACTTTCAACTTACCATATTTCATTGTATTATATTTATCCTCTCTCTGAGAGTTATCTAAATTTGTATTTGTAATCAAACACTGATTATGTTTGGATATTCATAATTGAATTAAAATACTTATATTGTTTGATTTAGTTGAGTTAAACATTCTAGACAAGTTATTTAGGGTTGATACTCAAAGTGGTTAAACTCAGATTAGTCAGGTTGACTAATGGAACCATAAGTGATTAATAATACTTGTACATCAATAGTGGCTTATACTTGTTTGTAATCTTTGAAAAGGATTATTGGAACTCCTTAAGAAGTCTTAAGGAAGACTGGACATAGCTTAGGTTGAGTGAACCAATATAAAAACATTTGTGTTATTGTTTTTTCCTGTTTAAAACATTTTCCTAAACGGTTGCTTGAAAACACAGGTGCTTAACAACTATTGTAATTTAACTAACACTGGCAATAGTTATTAAAAGTTATTTTTGCGAAAAGTTTTGAAACACTATTCAACCCCCCCCCCCCCCCTTCTAGTGTTTCCCTGTATTTCATTAGGATCATATATCGCTTTAAAGCATGTACGTTCTAGTACTTCTTTGTCTGTTGTGTTGTTATCTTTTTTTTTGTGCATATCACTACCTTTATTCAAAACCTTGTTCAGGATTAGAATAACGTTAAGAGATTGATAGATAATCAAGGAATGTTTCACTCATGCTTTCTGTCTTTCCTTTTTGTATACACAACACAAGTGCTTTACCAAGATGCAACATAGCTTTTGACTCTCTACCATAAAGGCTACACACCTAGAAGAAAGTCAAAGCTTTGAGTAACGAATCTTTTTCGAAAACATACTATATAAAGAGGGTTGCATAAGAGAAGATAACAACAAGAATTATCTTCTTGCAATACGCTCACATTGCTTCTCTCTTTAAGCTTTGTCTCTTAGACTTGTCATTGAAAAAAAAGTTCTTTTACAAGTTTTCAGAATATCATTGTATTGATTTGAAATCTTCTCTAAGAGAGTCATATATTATGTTCTTGTATTCTTTCATAACACTTTGTGTTTTTATTCAAAAGTGAAGTAAAAAATTGTAAAGTTAACTTAGTGGAGTTAGACCGTCTAATTAGAAAGACTAGTGATAACAGAAGTGGTTATACTCATATAACTAGTAGTTTAGTTGTACACTAAGAGTGGTTAAACTCGTAACCTTTTTGAAATATTAGTAAAATCCTTTAAGAGTGTCTAAAAGAGAACTAGACATAACTCAGTTTAAAGTGAACCACAATAAAATCATATGTGCTTTATTGCTATTCTTTTTCAAAAGTTTTCCGTGAAAGTTATTTTATAAACTCAAGTATTTAATTATTGTTACATACCATCTAAAGCCATCTAACCCTACAAAGGAAATTAAACATTTGTGAAAAGTTTTAAAACTCTATTCAAGTTTACAGGGTTTTCGTATATTACATCAACCTCATCAAATTATTATTATTATTATATTATATATATAATTTATACAATCTACGGCATCAGCGCTGCACGATGCCAATGCCAGATTTAGAAAGAATAAAATATGGGGAAGAAAGTTATATAGCATAAGAGCCAATTTCTATTAATGATCACGTGTAATCATAGCATCACAATGCGATGGATCTTTATAAACATTAAGAATATAAAAAAGATTGAATTTGACAATGTGCATCAACATTATCGACTTAAATCATAAGCATGGATGACATATGATCCACCAATAATACCATCACGAGTATTAAATAAATATGAAGTAGCATAGTTGTTGTCACAATAACTTATGAATCTTCCAGACCGTTTTTTTTATTACTATGATATACTACTTTTACCAACCAGAAAATCAGATATAGAAAAGGTTAATATCATGAGATAGAATACAAGTCATGACAAACATTTCGTTTTCAAAGAGTGTGATCATCTGGGACAAAATTCAGAACCCTCTTTTCATGACTGGGGTATCAATCTAAAAAGTCTCAAACACAAGATTGCAATTGCACCATTATTTAAAATATATATATATATAT